CTATATATGGTCATGATGTGATGTCATCATGACCATATTTAGGCATGTCACATGTTTTTGTCAGGGTTTTAATAGTTCGAAAGGGGTTTAATTTATGACTGTATAAATTTATCTGATTCCATGAATATTTTGTAAATTAATCATTAAAAAAGACAGCATTTTAAATATTCATAAATCTTTCATAGCCATTTCCATGGAAATTGTTACATGATTTATAGTAGGTGGAAATCTGTTTATCATATGCTTTGTAGTGCATCAAAATACTCACTCTGTAGTGAATTGTTTGTGCAACTCCTGTCAATGGTAAAAAAAAACTCAATATTCAGATATTGATTTTTGGTTTATGTGCAGATGGATGGGAGTTGTACAGGCCGTGATAGCAGGTGTGTATGAGTTTATTGGCGACCTCTTCTATAAATTTCTAACAAGTTCACGTCCTTCAAGACAGCTCAATATTTTGAAATTGAATAGAAATTGCTCTAATGGTCTGTCAACAATTTAAAGTTTTTTATTTGCCCATATTTGGGCATGATGATATCATAACATAAAGGGTAAATCAGAAGTTCAGTATTTGTCTTCACAAATCCTGATAGTGTGGTCAGTTAGCAACATCTCACATCTCACATAAATATACCGATAGTGTGGGCTTCAGGGACATGGAAATCTGAACACATTTTCAGCTCAACTGGCTACTGATTATGGCTCGTATTCTCTTTAAAGTCCTAATTATGTTTAAAATACATCATCACATCGCTCCAAGTTATCTCGATGACCTGGTTCAGCACCACTTACCTGTTCGTAATTTCTGTTCATCAAATCGACTTTTGCATCTTCAGCACTTTGGGGCTCTTGGCTGTGTGTGCTGAGTTGAATAAATCGTTACAATTACCAAACTATTGTATTAATTATTAATAATCACCAAACTAATTGTTAAACTTAATTAAACTAAACTAAAACCCAAAATATTAGATAAATAATTAACGGTACATTTGTACATTTGTTCATGGTTTATTTTCTTCTCTGTTGTTGTTAAGCGCCTCAAAGTTGTGACAACATGAGGCATTATATAAATTCAGAATTATTATTATTGTTGTTGTCGTCGTCTTCGCAGTCGTCTTATATTTATTATTATAAAATTTTTATTATTATTATTATTATCATTATTTGTTAACTTAGGATGTAAACAATTTTGATATAATTGAGATGATTTTGCATTCAGTCATTTGTGAATTTATTATTTAATATTATCATAATTTAGCATCACGTAACAACTATTTGGTGATAGTGTTTTTGTTTTATTAACATTTTTCAATATTTAGATTACCAAATAAAATTAAGATTCTGTTGTTCAGTATTTATATAAAAATATATTTTGAGGTTTTCACATTTTCATTAATATTTCATCAGGCGGCTGGAGCGAACGTGATCAACATGTTGTGGAACCTGATGGATTCTGGGATTGAGGATCTAAAAGTTTTACAAACAACTTTGGTGCTAGTTACAACAAGTACTGTTGTCCGTGGCAACGCTCTTGCCAGGGTAGGAGAGATTTTTTTACACTGCAAGTTTGATATTGATTAAAATGGAGTGATAATTTTTGGTGAAGGTGGTGATGAAGATAATGTTGTTACAGGGGTGACTCTGGTAGTGGAGTGGGTTATGATGGTGGTGGTGACAACCACAGTGATGATGGTGTCAATGCCAAGCAGCCACCAATGATGCAGTCACAGAGGTGTATTCACAATTTTCTCCTGAAAAAATTATATCGTGTGGATAAATATTAATCAAAATATTAATACTTAGTACCGTTTGTTTGTTATTTACCATAACTAATAAAAGTGTAATTACCAAATTATATATATTACAAGCAGAAAGATAACTCCAATTTTTAGGTTAATTAATGGTCAGTGATGGTTTGTGATTAATTTACTGTTCCTGAACACTGTTAATTTTATTTTGCATATTTGTATCACTTTATGAAGTTTGGTATTTACTTTGTATTATCTTTAACTTTTTCTTCTTTTCACTTATCTTTAATAACAGAAACAATAGATAATTTTTAAAATGAAATTAAGGATGATGATGTTGATATAACAGGAGTTTTTTTTATAGTAGAAACGTCATTCTTATGATTTTTTCATAGGCTATTGTTATATGTTTCCGGCTACATTTTTCTAAAGACAACACAATTAGCAACACGGCATCAGCAATAGTTCAACAAGTCGTATGCACTGTGTTTGAACGTGTGTTAGCAGAAGACGAAGCAAATGCTGGTAAAGATATAATATTAAAATTATTGAGAGAAACCATTTTTCATCTGCAGAGATCGAATGCTATAGTTAATTTATTTCATAAAAATTTGCAGGAAAAAAAATATTGCTAAGTATTCTTTTAGCAAATGAAAAGTAATAATTGACATTTCACACAAAAGGCTATTTGAATGAATATTTTCTTCGATGATAAATTATGCATAATTCATATGAAAAACACCCCTTTGGAAAATAATAGAACAATCTGCTCCTGCCATAAAGCTTTAACAATATTTATTATTGGTAATAATATTATGCAGCCATACATACAAACTCATAACATAATAGTAATAATAATAGTAATTGTCTTTTTTTATTCCCAGCTGGTGCAGAAGACGATGCTGAAAAAAATGTTTTAAAATCCAACAGTCGCCTGCCTCCCAAGTCACTTAGACCATGTGCTACTGATGCTTACCTTCTTTTCCAGGTAAACAGACATGTTTGTAGTATTATGAAAAAGCATTTTAATTTTAACAGTCAGAAAAGAACAGAACATAAGTATAAAAATAACCATATAAAGGAACTAATAAAAGTTGTAGAACTATTTCCTAAGTAGAAGACAACACAAAATCACATCAAGAATATGATTGTACTAGTTAAATATTTATTTATTTATTTTTTTAAAATTTATTTATTTATTATGGGACCACACTGCAAAATTATAGCCAATGGCTAAAAACGTGTGCATTACCAAAGATGTAAAGGCAAAAATGAATTTATATAGACAACTCTTAAATTACAGAAATGAGAGTGAAATATATAAATAGAAAGAAGTCTATAATATAAAAATACTTTCATTTAACCTTCTTATGAAATGTTGCATTTAGAAGTTGTTTTATACAGTTTGGTTTAGAAACAAATTGACACTTCTGGAGGAGGAAACTACTTACGAACTAGTCTCAAGCACTTCAATGGGGTATTTCCTTTAATTAAATTTATAATTTGTATTTGAATACTAATTCTGATGTGTGTTTTTTTTTGTGTTTACAATATGTACAATTTAAATTTCTTGCATGAACCAATAAAATAATAAATGGAATTTCATCCTGTCAAATGGTTGGCAGTTTAGTCTTCATATTTCCCCCCATTTTTCTTACTCTTTTAGGACCTTTGTCAGCTGGTGAATGCTGAACATCCTACCTGGCTGCTTGGCCTTACAGAGATGAGTAGAACATTTGGCCTAGAACTCTTAGAATCCCTTCTTAATAGTTTTCCTCAGGTCTTTCTGAGAGTGAGTTTCTTTACTGTTATTTTATCTTAAGTCCATTTTTTTGCTTAAGTCAAATTTATCAATATTGCTTTAACTTAAAAATTGCGTAAAATTTAAAAGTCGATTGTACGCATTAACCATCTAAGACGATTTTTAAGCTAAGATTTTGCTAAGATGGTTTAATAAATCCGCTTAAGATATTTGCTCCGAAACATATAAACTTTTTTGACTTAAGACATTTGCTAAGCTGAAATTGATAAATCCTGTTCCAGTTCGCCCATCTAGATCACAGAATGGTTATGAAATAACAAGGTGATTGACTTAAAAATGAACTGGAAAAAATAAAGCAATGCTGAAATAATTCATAATAATGTTTACAATACATTTTAATCTATTACAGAAATGTCTACCAGGAGGTTAGGCCTGCCTAATAACCCTTAATTAAAAAAACTTAAATTAACCACAATCAGTTTTATTCATCTTCTTCTTTTCGCGAAGAGCTCTGTACAAAGAGTGTCAGTGTGCTACTAACAATTCTAATAGTGCAGCTAATGCACACACAGTAATCACTGAACAACCGCCACGGCAACCAGTGCTTTGATTTATGAATATATAGAGTACCACAGTCATGTCGTCACAACACCAGGTGGCACTCTTTGTTGTCAACAGACGTAGGTTACCGTTCATTACGCCTGATTGACATTGGCTTTCTGGAATAGGCATTTTAAAATCTAATATTTAACCATCAAAATGTACTAAAATTAATTAATTAAAACTAGTTATCGAACATACATTTAATCATCAATTAAAATTTACAAAGAAAAAGTAAGATACAACATTTTAATAATTGGGGAATAATGGAGATAAATTTTTTGTTAGTGGCGAAAATGGCGTCGGGTTGAACGCATGTTGCAATGATAGCAACGGAGTAGTATCACGTGGTATCGTGACGTAACACTGTAGTATTCATAGCAACCGCTCTACAATCAACACTTTGATTAAAGGGCTATATAAAAGGTGATGGACATCACAGCTGATTTATAAAGCAATTATAGTCAGTTATAGTATATTTCGTAATTTCAATAATTTCCTTCAGCCCTGTGAGCATCAGGCAATTTCTTCAGGCACTAATGGCTCCTTCAGCTTCTATTTCCTATAGTTATACTCAAAACCTGACTACAATTGCTTAATATTGTGTTGTTTGTTTTCTTTGACAGCATAAAGAATTTAGTTTCTTGTTAAAAGAGCGTGTGTGTCCACTAGTAATTAAGCTCTTCTCACCAAGCCTCAAACACAAGCAGAATATGATGTCCACTGGACCCTTAGTTGCGGACAAGCCGTACTTCCCACTCAATATGAGACTTCTGAGGGTGGTCTCCGTCCTCATCAATAAGTACTACTCAATACTTGTAAGTACAAATTAAATTTTATTGTAAAAATTGAATGATTTTAAATAAAGGGAAAAACACATACAATATCTATTGTTCATATTTTTGTATTATATTATTTTTCCGTTGTTCTTTAGGTTACAGAGTCTGAGATATTTCTGTCGTTGCTGGTGAAATTTCTTGAAGGGGACAAGCCTATGTGGCAGAGAATACTGGCGTTAGAAGTTTTGCATAAATTATGTGTACAATTAAAGTTGCTACGGTAATTTTTTTTATTATACATATACTGTATTTTGTTTATGAAAGTGACATATTATTGTTAATATTGTTTTTATTATAGACCTATAATTGTTATTATTTTTATAATTAAAATAATTAATAGTATGTCACTTTCATTATTGGTAATGGACCTTTTTAGAGGGCCAATTAAACTTAACCAACCAATCAGAAAGGTTGATAGTAATTGTTATTGTCGTGATGGAATAATAGACAATAACTGGATTTGCGTCAGGAGAAACATGTATAGGTGTAATTTTGCCCTACCTGACGTGGAAATGTACCGAATACTCAGTAAATTTGAAAACAGCTGCGAAAAAAAGTTGTTCTCGGGTGGGACTCGAACCCACGATCTCCAGATCACTAGCCTGACATCATACCTTTAGACCACCGAGCATCATACCTCTGGACCCGAATTCAACCCTGGCCATCAGGGTATATAATAGCCAGGAATATGACCATTCCTCAAAATACCCAAGTTTATGTGTATGCTGTTTATGTTTCCACACCATAGCAACAATATCAAGATGTGAGGCTTAGTCTTAAAGTCCATTGTGTGAGGAACAATGGCTGTTATTTTGTGTAATGAGCAATACATATTTAATCTATTATATTATTTGTTTGATACATATTATATTTGACATCAAATGGTTCATAATTCTTTATTTTCATTGTTTCCATAGGAGCGTTTGTCAGTCAGCTGTTATTTTGTGTAATGAGCGACACATATTTAATCTATTATATTATTTATTTGATATATATTATATTTGACATCAAATGGTTTGTAATTCTTCATTTTCATTATTCCATAGGAGCTTTTGTCAGTCCTACGATATGAAGGCTCATTCCACCAAGATTTTTGCTAATATTGTGAATGCTCTAGGCTCCTTTATACAGTCACTCTTTGTGCACCCCATTGTTGAGAGGCAAGGTTCCACTACAGGTAACACATTCACTGGTTCCTAGACTATTATCTTCAATAACATTTTAAAAATATTGAATTCAAATAATAATAAAAAGGGAAAAAAAATTATTTTGTTATATTTTTGTCTTTTAAGTTGAAAATTTAAAAAAATTTAATATTGATGGTGGTAGTATAACCACAGATATAAATGCCCTGCGCTGTTCATTTTCACCTTGAATCAACACCTCCCAAATGACTAAACATATCTAATGGAAGAACATCATTCTCTACCTATCTATTAATGTTCTTCTCCAGGAGAAATAATTTTTAACCTAACCTGGTTGGATCAGTAAATCTTTATGATCATACAGTAACTCCTTTTAACGGTAATTATATGCTGTAGTTCCACATTTTACAGTGACATTGAGGGGCATTTATTTGATTATTTATGCATCCATTTTACACCAATAAAAGTAAACACCTCCCTTGAAAACCATTCTCAACAATAAATTTGCCGGGACATTTAATCAAATAAATACGGTAATAAATAATAATAATATTAATAATGAAAGTATAGTGTTTTTAAATTCTGATAGGTAATGTTAAATTGTCTTCTTATTTTAGATGGTGGAATAACATCTTCACCGGGGATAGTGGGTAGCATGTCTGTGGGAGGGGGAGTGACCCCGCAACCAGCGTTTGCTTACAAAGGTGTGTGGATACCGCTCATCAATGTTGCTGCAACCGGATCAGCGAAACCAGTTTTGTAAGTAAACATGTATCACCTATCTGTTTATATTTATGTTTTATTTGCTCTAATTTTCTTACCATGAAATTAATCAAAATTAAAAGATTATGTGGCCTTAATTATTTTAAGAGAGTACAGAACACTACTTTTCGTTACTCCTCCCTCTTTCAAAAGAGTAATAATATAATGAGTATTGTTGTTATTCTGTGATCATTTTTTTTTTTCATTTTCATAAGAGTTTATACTCTGTTGACCCTTTAGCTCTTGCATGTGTTATGTACTCTTGTAAAAGTGATGAAAAAATGGATCATCCTTATCTCAACTGACCAAAAATTGTTCTTGTTAGTGTTATTATTATCATTATCATTATTACTATTAAATCATTATTGCAGTTTCTGCTGCTCACTGCCGTTGCTTCTGCTGTTTTTGTGCCTGTTGTTGATGTTGACATTGATGTTTTTTGTTGATGTTGCTGCTGTTGTTTTTGCTGTTGTTGTTGCTGTTGCTGCTGCTGCTATTGTTGTTGCTGCTGTTGTTGTTATTGCTGCTGCTGCTGTTGTTATTGTTGCTGCTGTTGTTTGTTGCTGCTGTTGTTGCTGCTGTTGCTGCAGCTGTTGTTGCTGCTGCTGTTGTTGTTGCTGCTGTTGTTGATGTTGCTGCTGTTGTTTTTGCTGCTGCTGCTATTGTTGTTGCTGCTGTTGTTGTTATTGCTGCTGCTGCTGTTTTTATTGTTGCTGTTGTTGTTGCTGCTGTTGTTTGTTGCTGCTGTTGTTGCTGCTATTGCTGCAGCTGTTGTTGCTGCTGTTGTTGTTGCTGCTGTTGTTGTTGCTGCAGCTGTTGTTGCTGCTGCTGTTGTTGTTGCTGCTGTTGTTGTTGCTGCTGTTGTTGTTGCTGCTGTTGTTGTTGCTGTTGTTGTTGCTGTTGTTGCTGCAGCTGTTGTTGCTGCTGCTGTTGTTGTTATTGCTGCTGCTGTTTCTGCTGCTCTTGTTGTTGCTGCTGCTTTTGTTGATGTTGCTGTTGTTGTTGTTGTTGCTACTGCAGTCACTGCTGCTGTTATTGCTGCTGCTGTTGTTGCTGCTGTTCCTGCTGCTGTTGTTGCTGCTGCTGTTGTTGTTTCTGCCGATCATGTTGTTGCTGCTATTGTTAATATTATAGTCACTGAACCACTACATCCCTTTTGTCCATTTTATTCTAGTTCATATAGATAGGATAAGTATATTATGCTTGCCATCCCAAAATCAGCGTAATGTTGCAAAATGAAAACTGACAAATATCATTTGAAGCAGTATTGTATATTTTTGTGCAGAGAAGAATACTGTTACTCATAACTTTGGCAGTTGTAAGTTAATTCCAGTAAATGACATATCATGTTAAAGCTTATAATGTGAAGAATATGAATATTTTAAAAAGTCAATTTTCTTGATGCTGCTTTTGGCATGGCAAGCCCGATTTAGTCACTAAACCACTTCTGTCCATATTCCTCTAATTCATGTAGATCCCGTGATAAATTAACATAGAGGGAATGATGAAAAAATTGTTGCTCCAAGGTGATGTGGAGATCGTAGCCTATCTTCCTGCGGACTGAAGTCCCGAGGTCTCCACATCACCAAGGGGCAATAGATTTCACTGTTCCCCGAATCTAAAGCAGTCAATAGTTGTTTTATATACTTCATACATAAATTCTATGAGGCCTAAAAAAGTACTTACTTCCTAGCCTAGCCTAGGGCCTAAGTGATATCAAAGATTGTGTCTAGGCCTAGCTCTTCTTTTGCTCATTTCAACCCATCATCTTGCAATATTTGTCAACTATTGACAAGACATATTTAATTTGTCTTTGGGTGCTTTTCTATTGGCCTAGGCTAGTCCTTCTTTATCCAGGAGTTCAAACCGACAGCCTCCATAATTATTGTTTATTGTCTACTCGCTGCTCCGTGGTGCGATCAAGGGCCAATTGCTTTCATCGTAGAGGTTGCAGTCCACTCTACCATCAGTGCGATGGTGGGGCCTAGAATTTGCACCACACAAAAGTACTATTTTTCAGGGAATAGTACTTTTTCAGGGTAATAGTACTTTCTATTGCCCGCTTCTTAACCAATCAGATGCCTAGAATTTATGTATGAGGTATATAATTTTCACTAGTTAATTTTTATCCCACATCACATATAGCATATCATATTTGATGTTTATTTTTTTGCTCATTTCCTGCCCCTTCCCCTTAGCCTGGAGAAGCTTACAGAGATGAAGATCCTAGTGCGTGTTCCCGGCTTAACAGAAGCATTAACAACCATCTATGAGTCCATAAATGGAAGGTCATTTAAAGGCAACTTGTAGGCTCACATTTTTCAGCATTTAATTTTTACCCTATCCCTTCCATTTCCCACTCCCAATCCTCTTTTATTCCCTGCATTCTTTACAGGGTTCATGTAGAATATTTTATACATTTTGCCTTAACCTTTTATATGAAATTATTACGAACTTACCATATTTAGAACTTATACTTGCTTTATCTAGAATTTTTATGTCGTATGTATACCATACCGTATTTTAAAGCATGAAGTGTCAATTTTATATTTACCCCCTTTTTTAAAAATGTTTATCTAGATACAATTATTTGAACAAATCTGTCTCTAGGTTAGGGAATAGAAGGGGAACATGTAGTGGTTGTTGATATTTTGATCAGGATTCCAATGAGTTTGATAAAGGATCAAAACCAACAGCTACTTTTGGCCTTCAATCAGTGTCCTATAGTAAAACCCATGGTGGGGGTCATTGGAATATTTTATAGTTCAGGATTGCAATAAATTGTGCTTTTCGACCACAATACTTAGAACTATTTTATTCCGATAACCTCAACTGGTGTGTAAAACATTGGAGATCTTTCATCTGTTATTTTTTTCACATATTTTATGAATCTGTATTAACATTTCTCATCTGTGGTGAGGTTAAATTTTGCTATACTTTTTCATTATTTTGTTCAAGTGATTTCTTTGATTAAATTTTATGCCATATATGCTTTGTGTTACTTCCCATGTTAACATTTTTATCCTTCTTAAATTATTTTTTAAATTGAATCTACAGCGTATAAATGTATTACATCATGTTTACTGCAATGCATTATGGATTAAAAATGTATATTCAAATTACAGTCATCATTCACAAAAAATAACAATTATCTGTAGCCCTCTTAAGATAGAAATTGTTTGGTCAACCTTAGTACCTAGTCAGTTTAACCAACTATAAATTCATTGTGCAAACAGCCTATGTACTGTAAGACACCCATTGGTAAACTACCCAAGCTGCACTGTAAGATTAACCAAGCTAATCACACACCCACGAAGAACGACCAGACAGTTTCCTAAATGGCGCTTTTAAACAAAGCAATTACTTTAATTATACCTTTCCAAATTTTATCCAGAATTGTAAAGAAATTAATTAATAATTAATTGTTGTATCGTACTTGATAATAAAAAGCAATTCTGATTCTTGTGCATTGTAGTAAACAGATGGATGGTGTTAATATTTAGTAGTTTGGAGAAAAAAATATTAATTATTCTGGTTTTTTTTCCCCTTAACAAGTCTTGAGATGCTGGACAAGTTAGAACCGCCAACTGTTCCTGATGGTTATGGACTCTCCATCGCCTTCACTTGTCTTCTAGATGTCGTTAGAAGTGTTTCCGCAATAGTCACTTCTGAACTTGAAGCAGAGCAGCGACGTAAAGATAAAGAGCAAGGTGTTAGTCCTAAAATAAATGGAGGTCCTGTGTTAGACCGCAACGATGCCGTACTTGATGATGTTGATCCAAGTAAGTATTGAATGAGAGCAGTTCAGCTCAGTTGGCTAAACTGGTGGTAGCCACTGTCTTCGCTGAACCTTGGAGAGCCTTGGTCCCCAGTTCAATTCCCATCACTGCTCATTCAAGTTACGATAGCGCATTGTCTTTCAGATGAGACGTTTAAGCCGTTGGTCTCGTGTACATTATGGCCCATGTGCACGTTAAAGAACACAGCACACTCTTCGGAAAAGAGTAGGGGATTGTGTCCCGAGGTACTGCCCAGTCACCACTAGAAAGACCCCACTGGAAATTAAATCTTCAGATTTTTGTGGGTTAGCCTTGGTGTTTACACTGAATATGTCCAATGAACACTAATTTTGAATTAACATTTTAATTGATTTAATAACATTAATTTGGGAGATTTTTAATTTAGCTTTTTGAACCATTCTTTTATTTTTGTTCTTAGGTTTGAAGAACTTGTGGGAGGAGCTTGTAAATGCATCGTGGTGCGGGGTTCTAGCAGCATTGTCGCTGCTTTTAGAAGCATGGTGAGTATAACATTGAATGACTGGTTATTCTCATGCTATGATTTGTGCAGTGGGGCTGTGCGAAAGAGAATGAGGATGTCTATGTAGTTTTGTTTTTAAAAAATTGCAAGCATCTGAGTGACATAGTCTGTTTATCCAAGAGATATCGCTCAGACTGCCATTATTACTACTGATTAAAGCTACGTTCACATCAAGCCCAGATTCCGATCCGGAGTCCGGAGAAAAAATCGTGAAAAATGAGTTTAGAATAGGACCGTTCACATCAAATTCGTATGATTTTCAATTTGGACTCCGAATCTGGACCGATGGATCTGAGAGCCATTTGTATCCTGAAATCGTACGTTTTTTTTTTCTTGGGCCAATCAGCAACAAGCTTGGTTGGTTCGAACCAATCAAACGCATACATACCGCACAACCGTGTTCTGTGCGCGATGTGAACACAGCAACCTAGGATTTTTCGTCTGGGCCCCAGACCAGATCCGGGCTTGATGTGAACATAGCTTAATGCATATTTTCTCTTAATTTTTTTGGAATCACCAATGACTTTTTTTCTGATGAACCCTATGTAATAATTTCTTTCTCTGCAGCACGGATGAAACTGGCACTCAGTCTATTTTGAAGTCGCTTGAAGTTTATGCAAGCTTATGTGGCAAGCTTGGTATGACTGTAGCAAGGGATGCTTTCATAACATGCCTCTGCAAAGCCTCCTTACCGCCACACTACGCACTCACAGTACTCAACATTGCAACTCCTCAAAACATATCAAATAAAGGTAGGTAAATTGAAGTGGAGAGAAGGGCTCTGTGTATTTGGAGGTGGTGGTTGTGGAATAGAGTTTGAAAGAGGAAAAAAGCAAAATAAGCATATATACTTATTTTTGAGAGGAATATTGTTCCTATAGAAAAATTTTCAATAATTAGGTAAGTGGAGAGGAGGAATATGTTAGGGTTGGATGTATCTATACAATTTTATAGAAATAATACAAATAATTAAAACCCCTAACAAAGCTGCTATAAGCCACTCAATGTTAAAGAAATTATTTAAAATATATAAACAATATTTTTAGTAGAAAATGATATAGCTTAACTGCATTATGGAAGCCCTTGAAATAACTGGGCACAATTAATGTTCCATTCCAATTTTCCCCTCACTATCACGTACACCTACTGACCTTTACATGCAGTCTTTTATATGGTTTTCTAGGTCATAAGAGGAATGTCAGCAGAGATGGTCTTTCTAATCAACATGGCCAGGGAGTGGACGGCAACTCAAATGAGCCTGGAGATGGACGGAACCAGGTAGTGGCTGTGGGAACTGCTCTGCCTACTGTCCAAGGAACACAGCAGGGCCCTGTCATGGTGAGTTAGACAGTAATGTATGACATGTTTTGTTTTATAATGATAATAGTAATTAAATCATTATAATGAAGCTTGTACCATTGTACTGTATGAATATCTGAACATTATTGCATTTGTTTTTTGTTGGTATTTTTATATTACAGACAGCTATTCACATTTAATAAATAATTAAATTATTTAAGTAAATGTAAAAATATATATATTAATTTAATAGTACGGTGGTACATCGAAATGTATTGTCTACAGAATTGAAAAGAAATTTGGTAGTTACTTTTAAATTGAACAAAATATGTAGAGCATGTTCTTGTAAAATTAAATTTTAAATGTTGTAGTTGTATGGTTTGTAAAACAATGAAATATGTTCTGTAAATGAGAATGTTTCTTGTGGTTGTTTCTTGTTTAGCTTACAGCAAAGAACATACAGTGCATGCGAGCTATTCTTAGCGTAGCCCACTGCCACGGTGGAATCCTGGGCACTGCTTGGCATTTGGTCCTCACCACCCTACAACATTTGGCCTGGATCCTAGGCCTAAAGCCCAGCACAGGGGGTAGCCTAAAGGTCAGTGGTGCATCAGAGACAGCCAATTCTGTCATTACTACCGCCGTAATGGGTGAGCTACCTATCCTGTCGGCCATGTTGTCACGGTTGTTTGAGAGCTCTCAGTACCTCGACGAGGTAGCCCTGCACCACCTGATAGATGCCCTATGCAAACTTTCAAGTGAATCAATGGAAATTGCGTATGCAAATAAGGTAAGGAAAGAAACAGACGAAAATTGTTAATTTGTAAAAGAAAGAGCAAAATTAAAATGTTTATTTTTTTTTTTTTAAATACAATACTTTTATTGGGTTCACAATCATCTAATCTTTAAGTACATTTCTATTAATATTTTCTAATATTACATTTAATTTTATAATCATGCAAATAGAATGCATTTTAAATCTTATTATTGCTATGTAGTTATTGCAGTTTAAAAATTCAATTAATATTTTTTTCATTGTTCGGGGCGCATGCCTTGCAGCAACAGTTGCTTTTTATTGATGCACCAAATTATAGATGTAGCATTTTGTATTTGAATGATTTGTCAAAATATAATTTAATATAATTAACATTATTTTTAAATTTTATTTTTTTAGTTAAGATGCAGCATATTAGTGCTACCTTTTGCCATTATCATTAATAATTGCTTTCATTATTTACAATATTATTAATAAATTAAATCATTTCACTACCATCAAAATGGCTGCTCACGCTATTCATGCTAAATATGTTACCATAGTAACATATTAAACAGAAGCTTTTTACTTTAGATATCTTGGTCCTCTTTTTTAATGCTGTCAGATTTCTAGGGGCGATAAGGTACCAGCATGTTGCTTGTTTTGGAAGTGTCCGTCAATACACCTGTCTGATTCTGTTTCAACTATCTTTTTTTAATTTCTTCAAAACTGAATGTTTCAAGAAAAAAAAAGCAATGTAATGATTACAATGTATAATTTGAGGCCTTTTTTGTTAGCTCTTTCTGGATAGGCACTTAATAATGTAAAGTCGTGTGTATTCAAAGATGTCCAATTTTGAACTTTTGGACAAAACTTCCACATTTAAGCTTTTTGCATTTGCCTTTATTGATGATTCGCTTGGTTAAACTTATTGCGTGGCTTGGCAAGTTTGACCAAGCTATTCACACTGGATATCGAGGAATCGAGGCATATTTATTTTGTGCTTGAATACCTTCAGAATATTTCTACTCACATTTCTAATTTTCAAATTATTTATTAATCCATGCTTTCATCTCCTAGTATTTTTGAATCCTTAATAAAGTGATCCTTTTTATTCAAATAAATTTACTAACCTCACTTACAATTTTGTTTAAACTCTAGTCCAACCTTCTTCATTCCATTTTCCTCAAGGTTTTGCATGATAGGTATTTGGTATTTGTAATCTCTGCTGCCATAACAGCAACTGAATATTTTTTTTTTAATTTCCACTTTTTTACCTTTATTCACCATAACGGCAGATAAAAATGATTGTTAGATTATCACTCCCGCCTCCATCAAGAATTTTTAAAGGTTTATACACAATTTTTTTTTTAATAATTTCAATACACCGAAAGGTCCACAGATTAATCTCAGATAAGATAGTATAATACGTGTCGGGATTCAATATTTTGACATTAATCATATCATCATCAGGAATGATACAATACAAGACTGTTACTTTATATCAGAGATGGAAGGACCATGTCTTTGACTTTGGTTGGAGCATTGGTTGGAAGTGGTGTTCGCACAGTCAATTAAGTTCAAAATATCCATTCTAGCGATGTACAAACTTGAGCCAGTGGTGGCACCAGCGAAGGGAGGGAAGGGCATTTTTCCCCGTCTGTGCCATTTTTTTTTTTAAATAGTGATTGTCTAAGAAATTTTTATATCTGCCATTTTTTTTTTAAAGTGATTGTCTAACAAATTTTTCTATCTGCCTTCAAGCCCTCTTTCTTCTTATTGTACCAGAACTCTGTGGTATAATTTTTTTCTTATTCAAGACACTAATTTTAGTAAATTATTTTTGGAATCCTATTTTCTGTTTGATTTCAGGTCATTTTACTAATATTCTAATTCACATAAATTTTACTTCAATTCACTTCAATTTTTTTTTCTTTACCAGATAGCTAACCGTAAATGAATGCTGCCCCCTATCAACCATATTTATTAACTTGTATTATTGTCAAAATGAATTATGAATGTGTGCTGACCCCATATCAATCGGTCGTGTGGATGTTATCTTCTTAACAATTATAATTTCAATGTTTTAATTGAAGTTTAGATGTGATTTATACTAAGCATGATATATCTATACAGTTGTTTTTAATGTGATCAATTTCTAATACAATCGTTTAAAATTATCTCCATATGAGAGCATGTGTCTACTGCTGTGTTTTTTTTTGTAGGGTGGTACTTTTTATGTGGAGACTGGATTATTGTAAAATTTCTGATTGAAACTCTCAGTATTATTAGGCATAAGCTTACATTGAGCTTTGAAAAATAACACACCATCCCTGTATGTGTTGGCAAATAACTGTAAAAGTAAAAGATTGTTGATTTCTCTCTGAGATAATAACCCCTGTGACGGCAGTAGACAAAATAATAACATTTATTTGATGGAGTAATATATTTTTCCCAATTTAAGGAACCGTCATTGTTTGCAGTTGCTAAGCTTCTGGAGACAGGCCTAGTTAATTTGTCAAGGGTCGAGGTACTGTGGCGACCGGTCACGGCTCACCTATTGGAGGTGTGTCAACACAGTCATAGCAGAACCAGGGACTGGGGAGCAGAAGCCGTCACCTCTCTAATCAAGGCCTCCCTAGCATATAAATTCCAGCCCCCGCTTCATGAAAACTTGGTAAGTTACTGTATGTAGGTCAGTGAATGTGTGTGTCCTGATTTTCTCCTCAAATCTGTTGAGCTGCTCTTGTATTCCAGAGCATATTTTTGTTTATATGTGCTGGGAGTATTTCTATGAAAGTAACTGAACCAGAACAGAGCAATCTGTGTAAAAACTAAACCACAAAAGCAAACAAAGTAACCATATCAAACAACCAAACCAAGTACTACAACCATACTAAGCAACGAAACCAAGCAAATACACCAAGTAACCAAAACAAACAAACAACCAAAAACTAAGAAACCAAACTAAACATCCAAAATTAAACAACTAAACTAAGAAACCAAACTTAACAATCAAATCAAACCAACCATAACCAGACAGACACCCAAACAAAATACCAAATGAAACAATTAAATCTAATCTAATCTGGTCATTTATATAGCGTCTTTCTTTACAGATACGAAGTACTGTAAGTTTTTCCCTTGTCATCGGGTCCATATGCTTAAGTGTTGGTGTCATCTTGGCGCAGGAGTAACCAACCCCACCAGGTACCCATTTATACACCTGGGTGGAGAGAAGCAACATAGACAAAGTGCCTTGCTCAAGCAAGACGCACAGCGAGGGATTGAAACCCCGACCTTGAGGTTTGGGAAACCAAACTGTTCCCGCTGCACCAAACCGCTTCCACATAACCAAACCAGCAACCAATTTAACTTACAGTGTTTTGTATTTTTTAGAAACTTCAAACCATGTTGTTGTCACCTTTACAAGAGCTGTCGGTTATTCAACATCCTGACATCCGTCAGAAGCAACTGGAATGTGTTCTCCAGGTTCTCCACAACAATGGAGAAACTCTGGCACATGGATGGCCTTTGGTTCTTGGTGTCATTGGGGCAGTTTCTGATGATCAGGGGTAAGATATCCAAATTTTCAATTCAGTGTCTTATTGTTATACTTGAAGTGTCAGTGCCAGCCGCCTTAGTCTAAAAACAATAAATGTGAGGCATGCCATTCCAAAACCAGCGTACAGACATTATTTTAAAAGATAAGTATAAAAACAGCACAGTCAGTCACAGGATTAAGGCGCAGGATCATCTCATCTCATTAACTATAGTTCTACAGATCAGGCTCATAGAGAGGGTAGGCTTGGGGTGGTGGAGGTTATCCACTATCTCACTAATCGATTACAGTACTAACATCACAATTTATTTGTGTATTATAATCTAAATTTTCTGGTTTACTTTTGGAAAACTAATATTTTATGTGATAAACTAGTTGATTTTCTTCTTTACAAACAATCAGTATAATTTATTTTGTGATCCGTTATTTTTTATAAATGTTATACTTTATTAGGCCAAAAAAAAAAAAATGTTGTGTTGCCCTCCGCGACCGACCAAAATTAGCTTACCATCGTTCTATTGTGGTGCCTACGAGCCCTTAGGCCTAGGGTCTTCATAAAGGGCTGCAGTTTCAGACCTAACCTATTTCAGGTATTAATAAAAAAAAAAATCCGTCCTACCGACCAGCGATCTCGATTTTTTCCTTTTAATGGCAACACAACTATATTTTTTTGGCCTTATGTGAGTGATATTTTCATTTTTTTCCTTTAGGGACAATCTTATCAGAACTGCATTTAAGTGCTTCCAACTAGTCACCACTGATTTTCTACCCATAATGCCACGGTATGGCCTACAAATTTGCATCTCTGTGGCGGCTAAATTTGGACTTCAGAAGGAAGAACTGAATATTAGTCTAACTGCTGTAGGATTATTGGTAAGAAATATTCTGGTTTAGTCTAATTGTGGCAAATCAGTCAAGGGGAACCTTAAACAGTTGTTCACTATTACACCAAAGAGCCAATAAAACCACTGCAACATATATATTATTATTAATTATTACTATTATTATTAATCCTTATTAATTATTACTATTATTATTACCTTTTTTAATTTAGCTAGAAGAAGAAGAATTCGTAACTTCAGTAGTTAATGTGCACTTTGCATAATAGCATTGTTATAGTGCCACTGAACATTCCATTCTGCCGTGCATATTGGCACTATGCACATTTCATCATAACTGATGTCCCAATGTTTCCAAATTCAATGACAGATTGCACATAATCTCCATCAATTGACTGTTTTGTGTTTTTTAATTTTACTTCTTGTAGATACATATTTGTCTTTGTTCAATTGTATTATTCTTTTATTTTTTGATTATTGATGTTTGTATTCTGAGTTCAGTAAGTGGGTTTCTGTTTATAAGCATTGCTACGAGAGTCACCCACTATAAATATGGTACAAAAAAAAAAAGTAAATAAAGATTTATATTCGATGAATCATTATATTATATATAATCTATTTATTTTATTTTTTAGATTTATCTTGTATATTTGTCTTTGTTCCATTGTATTATTACTTTATTTTTTATTATTGGTGGGCCTCTGTATATCAGCATTGCTGCAAGAGTTGCCCACTATAAATGTAGTTCAAATAAATAAATCCTTGTTGATTGATTGATATTATTATTAAAAATGTTTTTTATTTTATGCACATTTTAGATATATTTTAATATTTAAATTCATGAATGTAAACATTATACATTTATTTTTATTTTTTATTTCATACAGTGGAATATATCAGATTATTTGTACCAAAATCGAGTAAGCATATGTGAGGGACTGGAAAAAGAATCAAATCTTGTTGAAGGCACAAATGATAGTTCTCCAAATGAGGCCCCAGTTCCACCCTTTGATGCCCTCTGGTTGACCCTTTACTCAAAGCAAGCTGACCTGTGCGTAGACTCCAGACCAGCTGTTAGGAAGAGTGCAGGCCAAACATTATTTTCTACTATCAGTGCTCATGGGTCTCTACTGCAACAGACAACCTGGAGTACGGTGCTATGGCACGTGAGTGTTGAAGCTTTTATTTTTTAGGTCGTAATCCAGAGGTCCAGATATATTCACCTGCAGTTTAACCATCCCTGAACCACACACACAAGGTTATGTTTCATTTCATCAAGCCAAGTGTGCTTTTACAATGGGTTTAGTTGTAGGGTGCTTTAATAATAAATGTAGGGTATTTGTTGTGTGGGCATTGTGCTGTTCCTCAACTAAAATTCTACCAAAAGAAGTACGAAGTACATGTTTGCCAGTATGAATACAATAAGAATTAATATTTTTAAGAATTTCATCTTTTTCTTTTATAATACAAGTATTAGTAAGTAGGTTAAAAAATATTTTTGTTTCAACAGAAATTTGATAGAATAACATTTGCTGTTGTTATTTGCTACTGTTGCTGATGATAATGATGGCACCGTTGCTGTCATTTCAATTGTTATCATTATTTTATTTTTATTATTTTTACTACTATTGTTATGATTAATAGATTTTTAAAAATCCTTCTACTTAGGTGTTGTTTCCTCTGCTGGATAAAGTAAAGAAGCTGTCTGGTGCAGCCAAGCAAGACAAGTCAGACGTGAGTGGTGGCGTCAATATTCTGATACACCACTCACGGGACACAGCAGAGAAACAGTGGGCAGAGACTAAAGTACTTACATTAGCAGGCGTCGCCAGGGTCTTCAACACCTGGAGGCAGCAACTAATTCTTCTAGGTTGGTAGCTTATTTATTTTTCCACCATATTTAAAAAGGGTTGATCATATATATATCAGAAGCTCTATAACCATGATTTTATGATTCCTAAGGTGCTGAGTTTTTGGAGGTTGAAAGTTATGTTATTGCATTTTAGCAGAAAGCTGATATAATAATAATAATAATGTCATTTTGTTAGGCGCACGTATCCATCCCTAGTAGGGGTGCTCGCGGCGCCATTTTCCATCTGCCGAGTGTACATGTAGCCATTTTCGCATTATTATGTGAATTAATTAATTTTTAATTATTTATTTAATCTTAATGTATATTTATTTGTGTTGGACCAGACATGGATGGGAAAGATAGGCAAAATAAGATGCAAATACTCTTCGGGGTCACCATCCATCACCACCCTGGCGCAATCCCGGACCTCTGCCTAGGTGGCTCGAACAAAGGAACTGGAAACACATTTGCCCTGCCACAGATGATATGAAGTAACAAGATCAGTTACACTGTATTGTTTAGAATATCACCAATATTCATGTGGCGCTAAAGATGTCGGCAAATGTAGCCAACGTTTTCTGAATCACACAAGCCACTTTTAATAAACAAAAACTAGTTTACTAAACAATTTTATGTTTTATTTCTCTGCTTTTGAACAATGGAACAACAGTTTTTTCTACCTTTTGGTACTCAATTTACTTGTTGTAGTCATTGCTTAAGAGGGCTTATTAATAGTATTTTAAACAGGACATTTTTTTAATTTCCTGTTCTTGAGTGCTGGAAAACTTTTCTTGTTTATTTTTCTGCTCATGTTGTTTTAGTTGTCTATTTATGTTTTTTTTTATTAGGTGATTTTCCAAGAGCTTGGGCACTGTTGCTGGAACATATAGAAGCCTCAGCTCTTAGTACGAGTAATGAAGTATCATTGAACGCTTTGAAAAGTTTCCAAGAAATACTACAACTACAGTCTTCATCCCCTTCCCCTAAAGTTGCACTGGAGAGGGCAACATCATTTGAATCAAACATCTCCGCACCAAAACCTGAACGAATCAAAAGAACTACTTCAAATGATATGCCCAAAGTTAAATCAAGTAATGAAATTGAGGTCGTCATGGACGACTTTACTTTATGGTCAACAGCGTGGAGGGTTTGGCACAGTATTGGGATTAACGGAACCAAACCGCCAACGTCAAAAACCGCAAAAACTCTACCGTCACAAGCATTCCTAACAACGCTGCTGCAGATATTTCCCACGTTATTCCAGCACATCAAGGCTAAGTTTGTAGCATCTGACTTCCAGAAACTGTCACGAGTTCTCCAGTGTGCCGTATCGGTTCCAATTCATGCGGATGCATCGCCATTTATACTCCCCTCCTCAATGCTTGATGCGGAACTCACTGGATTACAGGAAGCGGCACTGAATGCAATAAATTGTGTTTCTAAGGTAAATTTAAATACGACTCCCCTCCCTAAGCCTCATAAAGAGATTTTGCTGATAAAAGCATCACTATAGTTTATTTATTTAAGAGGGCCCCTGAATATCAGCCGACCTTCTAGGATACACTGGAAGTGTCACCCTCTTTAAATACGGTTAAGAAAAGATGCTGTTCACAATTGGATTTAATTACCAAGTATATTTCAAGAATGATTAAATGACCAGGTACACAAACAAGTTATATCCAAGCTTTAGGAATTGTCATGAGTATTACATCCTGGTTTTGTATAAGACTTGAACCTGACATCCTAAAGTTTGGAAGGACAGCACTTAAGCACTAAAGCCGGGCACTCGCTGTGTCGCACGATCGTCAGCCGGGAAATTTAACTCGGCTCCCTGCGAGCGCTAGACGACGCGGCGGCATAATGCTGATTGTCGGTGGCAGTTTGAGTGGATGGTCAATAAAAAGGATCCGTTGCACATGCGTCGTGGCATTGCATGCTCCATAAAATGGCTTCGGCCGACGACCGTCTTAACCTACAGTAATTCTTCTAATTTCGTTTTCTAATGTGTATGCAGGCAGTAGGTGCTTCAGAGACCATGCAATCCATGCATCCAGCCGTGTTTGATCAACTACTTACATTTGTCACATATGCTTGCCAAGCGCCTTCTTTTGGTCAGATTGAGACCAGGGTCATCTCAAAAACAGCAACAAAGCAGGTAAGAAAAAAACAATTTTTTTTCTTTTTCAACCAAATAAATGAACAATAAATAAATATTTGAACATTTTCAGAATGAGTAAAAATATACAAAATGACTTTTGCTTTTTGTAAAATTGAAATTTCACATTTCAAAGCAAGTTGAATTATTAAGTGAGTGTGAGATTTTACATTGCTTCCATCCATGCGTGTTCCAAATTCAACGGAATTAACATCTCATATTCATGTTTTCAAAGAAGTACAATAGCATCATGGAATGTTCAGTGCTCATTTCAGAAGAACTAATGACTTTGCATAACAAGCCAGTCAAATAAATAATAGTCTTCCTTCCTAAGTGTATGCGTCACAAAAATGATTTTCTTTTTGGGCTGTGGATATACAGTTTTTATATCACCGTAAATAGATAATGAAATGATAACTTTACGTCAAACCATAAGTACAGAATTAACATCATATGTGGCAAAGACAAACCAAACCAGTCACTCGTTGCAAATCCTGTTTCAGAGATAATGGCCAAAACATGCTGGAAAGTCAAAATTTTTGAAATCTATTTTATTGCACTAAACTAACCTTTATATATCTATATGTCATGCTATGCTGTTACTTCCCCCATTTCCATTGTTTAAACAACCATTTTTAACAATTTGGTGGTGGTTTCTCCCTGGAAAATGCCCAAAATCAGTAACTTTGAATGCTAATTTCTCAAGTATTGTTCTTTAAACAGCTGTATGTCTAAACTCCTGTAACTTCTTAATGAAATGTCGGATTTTAATGATTCTTTTACCATTTTATAGATCTCATTTTACTGTTTAACCTTGTATTAATAACTAAAAATTACTTTTTGCGATGAGTGACTGGTTTGGCTTGTCTGTGGCCTAGGTCTATTTTAGATAGGCCTAGACTGATGGTGGATGTCCATATTGGAAGGATTTATCACATCCATGTGGAGACATGACTGCAGCATGAATGAAAAACGACTGTGTGTGTATGCATGGATAAATCTGTTTTGCGTAAACCTATCATTTCATCCTCTTTTTTGATGATTAAAAATATCATCTTGCTTTCTTAAGAATAAAAAATCATATTGTAAATTTAGGGTTGGGTCCTTCGGAACTTGTTGATATCTAATTAAAATTCAAATTGATGATGTTTATTAATGAGCTATACTGTGAAGTTTGTTTTTTTATTCGCGCAGATGATGCCTCAAAAACTAGCTCAGATTTTTGCGGAAAATCACTAGGAAAATAGGTGCTTAATTGTACTGCAACTACAGTACTGCACAATACTTTAATTATTTTAAGATTTGGTGAAAGCCTAATTTTTAGCTAAACCTGTTTGGAAATCAGCCCATTATTTTTCGAAATGTGGGGATGGATTTCTAGGCCTAATTTACAGTCTGTGGTTAAAATGCATGATCGGGGGTGGCGCCAGGATTTGCCCGGCGGGGGATCCTACATCCCCGATGGGGGAGCCAATGTTCCTCATGAAAAAAAGTGGGTGTAGTCGGGCGGGCATTTCTCTTTGAAACCCTTAAATGTGACAATTTAAGGGTTTCAAAGGCTTACTTAGTAAAATCAATTTAGAGCCTACTAATATGTAGAAAATACATATACATTTTATTTCTCCCAATGAACTGTGGTTTTTCTTTCTAAGGGGGCCCAGCTCTTCCCGATGGGGGAAACGCCCTGGCCCCGCCGACCCCACTGGTGCCACCTCTGCTTGATCAGTGGTCCTAGGTTCAAAGCCTGTTTTTTATCACAGCTTTTGTACTCATTTCCAACCTTTGCTCACTGTTTGATTCAATTAAATGCAAATGCAATTATAACAAATAGAAAATAAAGGTATAAATATGTGGAATTGCATGCCATTAATGTTTATTTCTTACTTATTAATTTCTTCCTGTGTGTTTTGTGTAATTTCCAGCTCAATTTTCAAATTATTTGTCTGTTGAAAATGCATTTCTGTTAAGAACCATTCTGGCTTCCTGAATAAACCAAAAAAAAAATGCAATACAAACTGAATTAAAGCTTTTTTTTTCTGAAATTTCCATATTGACATTACTGAAAAAAAAAACTATTGAAATAATAAAATAGCCAAAAAAAATCCATAATTAATGCATACATACATTTAATAGAGTTATGGTAATTAATATTATTTAACCACCTAATTAATACCTTTATTGATAAATTATCTTTATTTATTGATTAATAACTACCTTATCAATAAGTACCATTAATGGTTATTAATTAAGTACCTTTAATAATTAATAATTAATTACAATACTTTAATTGTTAATCAGTAAATTTGGGTACCTTTAATAATTATTTAATGAATAATACTATAATCCTTTGTAATTAGTTGCTTTATTAAGTAATGAATAAGTCCCTTTTATTATTAGTACTATAAATAATAATTAAAGAGGTACCTCTATTTTGAATTGGTAAGTAATAGTGAATACTTTAATTGTTAATAAGTAAATTTGAGTACCTTTAAAATTACTTAATGAATAAATACCATAACACTTTGTAATAAGTTGATTTATTAAGTAATGAATAAGTCTCTTTAATTATTAATACTATAAATAATAATTAAAGAGGTACCTTTATTATTGAATTGGTAAGTAATAGTGAATAAGTATCATTTTATAATATTATTTATATGACTTCTATTTTTATACAACTTTTAAAACTTATTTATCGAAAAATTAATTTTAATGTAATGTTGCAATTTTTTAAAATTTTACAATGCTTTGGAAAAACCTCAATAGTGTTTTACTTTTGGTTATCCATAAAGGACATTTTATATTGAAATTTTTCTCCTCAAATTTTGTAATGAAATATATTGAAATATTAATAAATCATTAATAACCAATTTGTTAATGAAACATAATTGCTATAAAGCTTTTAATTAAAATTTTATAAAAATATCTCTTAATAAATATTTATGTAAAACATGATAATTGTAAATCATGCATATTTGGCATAATGTTTGTTGTCTTGTCTTTGTAGTTATTTTGTTAAATCTTTGAAATTTCCTGGCAACACTTAACTAGGCTTTTCTTGTTTGTCTCCATCTACCTTCCACCCTCTATAGTCTGCTGAGTATTTACATTCATGGATTCAATGTAAGGTATTGTTACTACCGCATGGCTGGTTCACTTTCATCTACATTTCAGTCATGTTTTTTTGTTGTTTTTTTTCCTTTAGTTATAGCTTTTGGTGGTTTTATTTGAAGCAAATATGTTTTGCTTTTTAGTTAGCAAATTTTGATTGCTTAAAGCTTCTTAGGTTTGCAAATTATTTTTCAAACAAAAATTCAATTGACAAAAAAATAACTAACAATTGTTTGCTATTTTAGTAAATTTTCAAAGTCTTTTTCCCTTAATAAACATTTTTTTATTGTAAAAAAATAGTTTGTGTATAAAAAACAAATTGTCTATCTTTGTTAAAATTTAAACTAATACATTATTATTTATTAATACAAAAATTAACCTGATAATTGGGGATAATTTTTTAAGGGATAATTATCTTAGGAATTTTTTACATTACATACATATACGCACATAGAGGTTTTAATGTTACAACATTTATATAGTGACTTGCACCGAGAATAGGCCCATAGATCGTACATAAACATAAGCCTTCCAACACATGAAAAATTCTTATACAAACAGTGGCAGATCCAGGGCTACCCCCTTCCCCTTCTAGGAAGCAGCCAAAAAATCACTAACCACTAATCAGTAAGTAAGTGTGAAATCATAAGCGATTAAAATGGATAAAAATTAAAAATCCAGTGGGATAGGCCCGCCGGACCCCACAGTTGGTAATGGAACACTTTTACCTTCCTCTCTCAACCATAGGCTGCTCGCGTCCCCTTTAGACTTTAGGTCCCTGATAGCCTCTCGCCACCCCAGCAAACAGACCACATCTCTCCATCTATGTCCATCCAAAGGAATTCACTTCAAAGCTCCATCAATTTGTAGACTGTATTATTTACCTTCTCTTTACATAGTTGTCTCAGGTGTTTTTTGGACTTCTTCTGTTCCTATTATTTTGTGGATTGCGTTACAGCCTGTCTTGTGATGGTATTTTTTAGCCTGTTGCTCAACTTTCATCTGCATTAAAAGGGTTCTTTTCCCAATGGTTGGGTCTATTAAAAACCATATCTGACAGATTTTGAAGGATTAGTTTCAGGATTAGTAATTAGGATGATAATAGATTAATTATTAGGATAATTTTAGGATGATAATAGATTAATTATTAGGATAATTTTAGGATGATAATCAGAATAATGATTTAAATAATGATCACAATAATAATTAGGATGATTATCAGTATAGTGATTAGGGTGATAAGAATAATGATCAGGATAATGATGATGATGATGATGATCAGAATAATGATTTGGCTGATTATCATAATAATGATAGAATAATGATCAGAATAATTATAAGAATAATGATTAGGATGATGATCAGGATAATGTTAAAAATGATGATCAGGATAATTATAAGAATAATGATTAGGATGATGATCAAGATAGTGATTATTACGATGATGATCAGGATAATGATTAGAATGATTATCAGGATAATGTTAAGAAAAATGATCAGGATAATTATAAGAATAATGATTAGGATGATGATCAAGATAGTGATTATTAGGATAATGATCAGGATAATGATTAAAATGATGATCAGGATAATGTTAAGAAAAATGATCAGGATAATTATAAGAATAATGATTAGGATGATGATCAAGATAGTGATTATTAGGATGATGATCAGGATAATGATTAGAATGATGATCAGGATAATGTTAAGAAAAATGATCAGGATAATTATAAGAATAATGATTAGGATGATGATCAGGATAATAAGAATAATGATAAGAATAATGATCAGGGTAATGATTATGAGAATGATCAAAATGATGATTATGGTAACCTCAATCATTATTATTAATTATGAATGTTGTTATAATGATAATGAATTGGATTACAGTCCTGTCTGTTCTCCCAATTAGTAGAGAGGCTTTCCTGTTTTTCTGTTTCACTATACATTTTGTCCATTCTCATTCAATATATATTAAGCTTATCTTCCTATCTCCTGCTTTTTACTATTTTGTCATCTTTTATATTTTTATTTTGGTGCTGGTTCAATTTGCTTCTAAATATATTACTTATATTATTATTATTTCTTATGTTTGTTGTTGTTTTTAATTTATGTCTTTAAACATTGTGGTCATTTTATTTACTAACAGTTTTGTGCTTCTAAGTTATGTTACATGTCATTTCTTATAGACTTGTTCATGTTTTGTTTTCTCTTTTATTTTTGCTTTGTAAAAAAGATGTGTTTTAAAAGAGATAGAACATCTTTAAAAACAAACCATACAGCTAGTTCATAATGTTCATGTTTTCCCCACAAATATCATCTAAAATGTCATTTATTTCATTATAGTGACATAGTGCTTTCCAACTGTACCACATGGTGTAATCATGTGATAGAATCATTAGTGTCATCTGATCATTTATAAGACACATGGTCATATAGTCGCACAGATATCACATGATACATATGATAACACATTGCACAGATATCACACATGTGGGGGGAGGGGCTGCTGGCACCATCCCCGCAGGTATGACATGATACATGTGACAACAAATTGCACAGGTATCACATGATACATGAAAGTTATATAATTCAACATTCAAGAATCGTCAACACTCTATTTGATAATTCTCATAACCAAAACTTTAACACTTTTTATTGGAATTTATAAACAATGCAGATCAGCATTGTTATACTCATTTTTTTTAGTAATATACAATATTAAATTTTATTTAAAACCATATTTCATCCTGGAAAGTTAACTGCTATTATTACATCATCATTATCATCACCATCTTTCTAGTGTTCAATGGTTAAAATAAACATACAGTATTTATTTATGATTGTTATTTAGGTTGTTTGTTGTTAATTACTGTATTTAAGTTGTAGCTCACTACTGAAAATTATTTGATAAGCACCCCTCTCATTTCATGCCAAACTCGAGTAAGTGCTGCACCAATAGACACCTTATTCTTAGAGACTATCTGGCCACTTATGTTATGACTTCTTTTACCGAACACAATTTTATTTCAGGGAGGTAGTAGGTCGTCAGTGTTAAATATGTTTTAGATAGATTTTAAATGCATCAACAAGTTTCTAGATGGTATTTTAGCTGCACTTTCCTCTTGACACATACAATTTTTATTTTAAAAAAGCACTTTCATAGACTAGAGAATTTTGGCACTGATTTATTCTTTTTTTGATTTACTTTTGATACATTTACATAGTGCTAAATAGCAGATGCCTCAAATGCACTTGGGTTCAGTGGTGGCGCCAAGGTAACATTTTACGGAGGCAATATGTTTTCTCATAGCAGACCGCTGGTGCCGCCACTGGATAAGAGATAAGGGGAAATTAGCACATTGCTAGTACTGTATTCATTTTGAAAAGCACAAAACCGGATAAGTGAATGCCGTGCGTCAACTTCACTAAAGTGCACATTCGATCTTCATCATCTGTGGCTGTCTTTTGGTCTAACTTAAAGTCTCAGCTATTTAACTAATTATCCCATTTTTTTTTTTTTTATTGTTGCATTATTTATTCATGATTCCAAACTTTGCCACTGCTTCTTTTGATTTGTTTACTTGTTCTGTGCTTGGGTTAGGCAATGATCACGGCTGCTTGTCGGTTGTGAGGTGGCTAAATATGTGGGGTGCAGCGCTTCGTATCTGCAAAGAAAGGCGCTTTACAAATGTTCTGATTGGATTGGATTGGATTGGATTGATATAATTGGGTGTGGCACCGCCGCACTTGGGTTTCATAGTTGCTAGTTTCTTAGGTTACAAGGTACAACCTTTTTTGCTTCCTGGAGGAGTATTCTAATTGAGCCGCAAGGATTTGTGCATTAACAACTTTACTGCCTTACCATGTGCCAGCCTAGCAGAATAGAAGAGCTTAAGGATGTTTCAAATATCTATGAATTAAATTGAAAGTATTTCATGCTACTCAGTGGTGATCCAGTGAGGGTAGGAGGATTATGCCCGTCTGTTGGACATATGAAGTCTCTCTCCCCATCAGCCAGTCTTCTTTTCTTTTGTTTTTTTCATTTTTACTGCATAGTATGTACTACAGAAAGCCTAAAATTGCCCAATTTCCCTAAGTAGTCACCAGGCTCAGCGCCCTTGGATCCCACCAGGACTTCGCCCTTGTGCACCCCAGGTAAGGACTGGTGGGTGCCTCATATTGGGAAATAGTCAAACCCCCTATTGGTCAGCTTTGCCATGAATGAGTATCTTAGAGCCATTACTAATGCTACTGTACCAAATATCAAAAGTTATGTTTGAAAGAAAGTGTATTGTACAGAAGAATATAATATTAGTATGAACATTATACAAAGGTACAGTATTTTTGTCAATTTCTGTTATTGAATTTAGCTACCCTTGATTTACCTCTAGAGGGTGCAATATATAACTTTCTTCCTGGAGTTACTGTCCCCTATTAAGCAAATGCTGGAATCTCTGACGATTACTTCATGTTACACAAATTATGTTTTTTCCTTATCTGACGTGTTATCGTACTGCAGTGCAGAATAGCATTGTAGTACCTGCTGTTACTTGAGGATTGGATTCATTACTAGCCATTAAGCACATGCTCAGTGGTCTAGTGGTTAAGACGCCAGGCTAGTTATTTGGAGGTTGTGGGTTCAATCCCACATGAATCACCTTTAAGTATTGGGGAAAGTACCCAACATTCAGTACGATAACACAGGTAGGGCAAAAACATCATTTGTATATTTCTTCTGGTGCAAAATTGCCATTGGATAACTTCATATCGTAGATGAATTACCATCTATTTTTTTCCATAATTTTTATTTGTTTCCAGGAAAAATGGGAGAGTTTTAGAGGATGCCTACAGGTAGGTCTGTGCTATGGGCAATGTGGTGTCTCAGTGCATTGATAACATTTAATGTTACAGTATTTATATACTATTGTATGGTATATTATATTTGTATTATGATTTCTGTGAAATGATTAACATGAGTTTGGTAGCATTAGTTGTTATACTGTAATGTTTAATAGAAGTAAAATTTATTATGTAATGTTGTTTGTATGAAATGAACGCTCAACAGCATACACGATTGTACTTGATCAGTGGCGGATCGAGGAATTTCAAATCGAGTTTGCCGAGGGACTTAACACAGATAAAGTGTCTAGACCACATCAGTCCCACACATTAGTTGGGGCTGAGGTAAAAAATTTCAAACTATGGCACCTCTAGATGGCCGGAAATGGCACTCTTAGACTAAAAATTTGATTATATTTTTCTGTTTTTTTCTCCACTTTTTTTTTAAAACTTAATATTTAGGGGTGGACCCAGGCCAGCTGAGCCCCTTCCCTGTCAATCCGCCACTGATGATGCCAAATGTATGCTGATCCCCAGGATATCATATGCCTTTCATTAATACTCTCAACTTAAGCCAGGCACTCACAATGCCATGCGCGTGCAACAGATCATTTTTGATCATGATGATCAGTTCTGACTACGACCAAGAAATCAGCAGATAGTGTCGCATAGTCTAACGCACACAGGGAGTGGAGCTGGGATCGCTGCACGCTGCAGTGAGTGCCCAGGCTTTACATATCATTTATTTGATTTACGACAAAACATATAATATATAAGTCTTACATAAGGTTGGAACAGACCCTTGTTATGCTTAGCTCCCACCCAGGAGAGAATTTCATAATGCTGCTAGTAGTAACCAGACCTTTGTGGTGGTAATAGCTGGCCCTACCCATTCATACCCTTCCGAGAAAATTGTAGTAATTGTAGTGCCTTAGCGAAGGACAGAATCAAAATGCACGGCGAAAAGTTCTAAACTGAAGTCAGTGAGGTTGAATTGCAACAGCTGCAATAAACTGTCCCACATTTAATTTGCTTAAATTTGCCATTTTACAAGGAATTCATTAAACATGCTCATTTATAGATCTAAAGTATTTTTTTATACAAGTTTGTAGAAAAGATTTAACATCATAATAATAATAATATTTAATTTAAATTTAAGAATAAATTTACAAAATCAAAGCAATATATGAAATTAGTCAGTTTACGTATTACTTGTTTAAAAAGAAATTGGTTTAATATCCACCTTATTGAAATAATTAATCCATTGATTCTTTGCTTATTAATTGTTATCACTGATAAAGTTTTTTTTTTCCAACTAAATATTTCTTTTCTGTGATTTAGCAGTAGTTTTTTCAATGCTTAATAGTTGAACAAGTTCTGGTAATCTCAAAAGCTCCGATGAGGGCAGTATAATAGAGGCAGTAGAGCTAAAACAGATCTATTAATCAATCAACTATTAATTAATTAGCCGAGTGTTACTAGAGCTCCTCATGAAGGCAGTATAATAGAGCCAGTAGAGCTAAAACAGGTCTATTAATCAATCAACTATTAATCAATCAGCCAAGTGTTACTAGAGCTCCTCATGGGGGCAGTATAATAGAGGCAGTAGAGCTAAAATAGATCTATTAGTCAACTATTAATCAATCAGCCTCATGAGGGCAGTGTAATAGAGGCAGTATAGCTAAAATAGATCTATTAGTCAACTATCAATCAATCAGCCTCATGAAGGCAGTATAATAGAGGCAGTAGAGCTAAAATAGATCTATTAGTCAACTATTAATCAATCAGCCTCATGAGGGCAGTATAATAGAGGCAGTAGATCCAAAAAAGATCTATTAATCAATCAGCCGGTGTTTCTAGTGCTCCTCATCAGAGCTAAAAATGCTATTTTAAAAAAAATACTTTATTTCATCACAAGCACATCAAAACATTTACGAGTTCAGCATTCTTTCAGTAACATAATTATCCATTTATTTTCTGTTCAATGTTACAAATCAAATAATGCTACCTAGATTTTATTATATGACTTTGATTTATTATTTTTTGCTCATATAATCAACTGCTTTGTGGAAAACAATTGTTTATTTTAATAATCTTACTAATAATTAATATGGATTTTACTCAATTATGGGATAATTCATAAGCATGGTGAGAGAATTATTAATAATGCTTGGGAGGGAAAAATGTTCATTGTCCATTTTAGGATTCAAACCCAAGACCTTGATTGTTTCAACTGAAGTTGCTATATTTGGTTTGCTATCCTAAGGTCGTGGGTTTAATTCTTTCTTTATGATTTTCGGCAACCATAGAATCTCCACTTTGCAAACCTCATAAAGTTAGATTAATTTAAGGTCATCAGGGGTTCATAAAGCCTGCAGGTCACACATTTTGGCAGCTGACCATCAGTCGACAAATCTATTTCTGCTCTGAGTGACTGCTTTAGGCAATGGTGAAACAATCCACGATAAACTGGGTACACACCAATCACCCAGGTTAACTTATCTATCGAGTATATAAATGCACTATGACTGCCATGGGTACCGAGAGCCCAGCCAATATTTCCATTTTGAAATAAGATTAAAAGGAAAAATGTATTATAATTATTATTACATACAGATTTTAACACAGATTATGTAAAATGTACATTTTACACCACAGGTGGGCAATGTGCGGCCCGACAGCGATTTTTTTGCGGCCCATGAAAAATAATTAAATACCTGTGTGTGCGGGGCGCCAAGCAACATTGGCTAGAAAACACCTTGTTTTTTTACTGTCCAATAACGATCATCTGTAAAAAGTAATATTGAAACTGGGAATAAAGTTGTGTAAAAGCAATACTTGAATGTTTTTGGAAGCACACTGGAAATATCAAAGTTTGGTTGGTGCCCTCTGTGTTCATTAATTCACTTTGGCCCTCCGACCGATTTTTATGCCCACCCCTGCTTTATATAATGGTATTGTACTACATAATCGAGAAAGCTTAACACAATGATTTATCTTACAATTCATTTAACATCTAAATAGCATTGGATATGAATGTGTTTATTTTACCTTCACCAATAATAATAATGAGCTTTATGTATACAGTACATTGACATAACTTCCTGAAGCATTTTCCTAACTTGGCTTCTTTAATTTCACAGGTGACTTGCCGGTAGAATAACATATTCAACAAAATGAAACCATACATTTAAAATGGGGTTTTATATTACAGCATTCATTGTATTTCTTTTTGCTTGCTTTCAAGATGTTATTTGTTGTAACTTTTGTATTTGTGGAATGAAATGAAATGAGTAATTATTAATGTTTATCCTGTAAGCGTTTGAAGGAAATGGAAATGGGAAAAAGCCAGCAGTTCTGCTAAGCCTTGCCTCTTGATTATTGTAGCTAAGGTCCGACAAAACGGTAGCGTAAATGTACGCAATAAACATGTACGTTTGTGAGACAGCACATGTGTTTTGTAGGGCACGCATGTATTCATGGCTTTGTTCTGATTGGTCAGTTATCAAGAATGATTGACAGTCTGGAAAAGTCTATTGCCACCAGCATGGTCAAGAATGTTGTATTCTTGAATATTGCATTCTTACTGATAAGTGTTGTTATATAACGACATTTTTTGGTTGGATATTTTGATATTGTAGCAGTGGTTGTGTGCATTCACCAATGCTAGCATAAATGTGTTAATGTTCTGCATCATTCAGTTGTGGCATATATGCCAATGGTAGAATTTATCCACAAAATGGTTAGCATACATTGTCGTTGCTTGTGTGCAAGTACCAGTGGTAGCATACTTCCACCAATGGTACTGTAGCATGGTAGCATACATTGTCAATAGTGTGCAAAATCCATTGGTAGCATACAACCACCATTGGTGGTGCATCCATCAATGGTAGCCCTAGTTCACTGTTCATTTGAAGTGTGCATTCACCAGTGGTTGTATTCATTCACATATACCAAAGTAATATACATCTACCATTGGTGCATAATTATCATTGGTAGTTTGTTTATACCAGTGGTGCATACATCAATTGGTTACATACATTTTCATTGGTAGCACGCATCCGCCAATGGTAGCTTACGTTTACCAATGGTAACATTCATCATCCACATTCTATCTAGTTCTAATCGTATCTCACTTGTGTCTTCTGTCACATACTAGGCTGAATGGGTGAGCATGAATTATGTGCCCTTTGCTGAGAAGAGTCTTAGCATGACTACTTCCCTCTATAAGAAGACAGCAACTCGGCCAGCAGTCATGGAACAACAGGTTCTGCAGAATATTCTAAGAGTAAGATACTGTAGAAATTTATTGTAGGAGTTTATTCAAGGGAGGCATTTATTCCAAATGAAACTCTAGAGGGGGAGTTTATTTGAGGGGTGGGGGGCGTTTAAATATATATATATGGTATACAATCAACGATATACAGTATGTTTTGAGTCTAGCTATAGAATATGCTATTAATAACTGATAAGGAATACTTGAAGATGTCCACCAAACCAACCAGTGGTCTTCAGACCGTTGGTGGGTACTTCAAATCTCCCATTGAGTGTACCTTCAGTATCTAATAAAGTATACCCTCAGTTGCTATTCAGTATACCCTCAGCAGCTATTCCAGTATAATATTTATAGTACTGAGTATATCTTCATTACCTATAGAGAATATCCTCCGAAGCTTTTGAGTATACCCCCAATAGATATCCGTTGATTGCATTACTTTGCTGCTCTAACGATATTGTATCAAGCTATAATTCATATTTCCAGATTTCATTTAAATACTGGAAAATATAATCAAATGAATGAATTCATAAACTGATATATTTTTTTTAATTTAAAAACAGGTCCTCCAGATGCCCCTTGGTCTGAAGTACGCTTGCCCGTCAGCGAGCACCTGGAAACTAGCTGTGACATCTCTATTGGAAATTCTGCACGTTGGTCTACCAGTTGCCCGAAACCCGGCGTATAGTAAACATTTCAAATCAATGTGGTTAGATCTTGCGGCTGCCTTAGAGTTGTTTCTTTTCTCTGAGCAGTATGTATCTATTTCCTTGTAAAAACTTTTCAATTCATGCAAAATTTCATTGCCACAAAAAATCAAGAACAACATAGTCCAACAGCTCAATAATGTATTGACAAGTAAAATGATAATGAAAATTATATCAGTAATAATAGTAATGCAGGTATCCCTCAAATAGAATTAAAAGTATAAAATTGATTGTTATTATTTAAAGTACTGGATTAGTTTCCATGGTTTCTAGTTTCCAGTATGTTTATACTCTGTTTCTAGTGCCTTGAGCACTCTCTAAAGTGGATATGTGCACTTTTTATAATTGTATTTATTATTATTTTTTTGCAGTCCGGCACCGGCAACGCTCTCGGTAGAGGAGCAACAGCAAGACGAGGCTATGGACGTGAATGTTGTATTGCTGATTCAGAATGAGGTGTTACCCTACTCAACTGCCCTGCCCCCGCAGTTTACCGCCAAGATAATGGGCCTACTCAATAGGGGCTCTATTCACTCAGCCAGCTCTTCAAGTTTCCTAGGTAAATAAATTAAATTGTGGGTGACAATTACTATTAAGTTAATTATAAGTTATCCTCCCACAAAATAACCCACACACATCAAAACCAATCCAGTATATGAAACAAAAAACATATAAAAGTCACTCTGGGAATCATAAATCATTCATGCAGAATTTAAACAAATTGAATTACATTATTACTCATATCCTACAAAAATGATTTTGCAAAAATAAATAAAAAAAGTTTTAAAAAATCTAGTGTCATGATTTCTATATGATTCGGCAGTTTCTATTTGATTTTATGTGAATTGGGCTTATTTTCAATAGGGTCCTTCTGGCAGTATTCTGGAAGACAGGCCCCTACTCTTTTCTAAACTCCATTCTAAAACCGGCACATTGGTCATATTTCACACAGGATTTATGGATTACTGTAATCGCCTCATCCGAAAGACCATATCCTGTTGAAACTTACATTTCAAACCCCTGCTGAAACTCAAGCAGCAATGAAACTGTCCCAGGGACCAGGGTTGTGTTAGAACTTCCACATGCTATATTTATTCAAGTAAACGCCCCGCTTTGAATAAACGCTTCCCTCAAATAAACACCCCTTTAGAGCCTCATTTGGTTTAGAAAAAATAATTTTTAATTAGAAATTCATATTATTGATATATCATACATTGAATATATTTAATAATATATATTTAGTAACATAAATTTCTTTATTACAGATACCAATAATACAGAGCTAAGGGAGGAGTTTGCAAAGACTTGTTTTGAGACTCTGTTACGATTCTCATTCATCACTCAGAGTCTGGTGTCTGAAGAGGGCGCTATTACCAAAATGGCAATGTCGGCACTGCTTCAACGATGTCAGGAAGTTCTTAGGAAATATGTTGAGGATGAGAGGTTGAGTGGCAAGTGTCCATTACCACGGTAATATATTAAGCATTGTTTATTTAATTTGTGTGTTAGTATACTTAGTATACATTTTCATATGTGGCTAAGACTAGCCAAATCAGTCATTCCTCACAAATTGTGTTTCACAAATTGAGATAATGGCCAAAACATGTTGAAGTGTCAAAATTTTTGAAATCTATTTATTGCACTAAACTAAACTTTATATATCTATACATCATGCGATGTTGTTATTTTTTTCTATTTTGGATTTGGTGATGGTCTCTGCCTGAGAATTCCCCAAAATCATAAACTTTAAAGGCTGATTTCTAAAATACTATTCTTTTAACAACTGTATGTTTGAACTCCTGTAAATTTACAATGAAACATTGGATTTAAATGATTCTTCCACCATTTTATAACTTTCATTTTACTGTTTAGCCCTGTATTAATAACTAAAAATCAATTTTTTTGTGAGGAGTAAATGGTTGGGCTTGTCATTGCCACATATTTCTGTATTTAGAAAATTCAAGAAAATTATCTCAACTCTAGATGTTGCTATAAATTTATTTCTTCAAGGATTATAGGGTGGATAGCTGATCATTTTGGTCTATCAGTGCTTTATAATTAATTGGGAGTGAGAACTTGATCATTTGAAACCATGGATGCTCTATGTTTCGTTGTTGTTTTTTTTTTTTTTTTAATAATGGGGAGGGGAGAGCTGAGATTTGGGGCAATTGATACTCCATATTGAAGTGTTGATTAAATGGCCATCCTTGCTAAGTATGGTGTCAGAACTAACTTATTCATCTTATTCTTCATTCTTCCATTTTTAAGGTCACGGATGGCAGAAATATCGTTTGTTCTGAAGGCTCTCACAACTCTGATGGAATCTTTAAAAAAAGCACAGAGTGGTAATGGTAAGCATATTTTGATTTCTTTATTATACACACTTAAAAGTAGGAGAGTATGGTTTTTTTTTTTGTTTTTTTTTTTGTGGTGGTTTGGAAAGCAAAAATCTTAATGTTAAACATTATTTATCTGGAAACAACCAGTTCCTGACCAGTATCTAAATGGGAACTAGATTTGAAAACATAAACAATGTTTGGTCTTTATGTTTTATCTATTCTTACATTTCTTGTATTTCATTAATTTACTTTACTGGATAAATGGATAATCGTCATTATTCCTTTAATTCGAACACCCCTCAAATACAATAGAACCGTCCATCTAGGGCATTGAAAATTCTTGCTAACAACCATGTATGCTTCCTCATTCATTTGTCTTATTTCTTTTCCTAATTATTTTAGTTGATGTTAACACATGGGATCAGGTAATTGATCTCTATCCAACGCTTGTCGATTGCACAACATGTACGTCAACAACTGTGTGTAGCGCCCTCAGAGATGTACTGAGTCAGTACCATGACCTATTGCTGCCCCCATCAAGTGCGATGCAGAATGGCCGATGAGAGAAAAGAAAAACAGATTATGGTCTATCTATAACGTATCTCCAGTGCAATTGTAGGTTACAAACATTCTCCATGTGGATGTGAAAGTGAGCGAAAAATCAACCAGTTTTGTATAAAAGAGATTTAAAGATTAGAGACCTGATACTGATAAATAAACTTAGAACATAGTGAAGTATTTTTTATTAAATTTCAAATGGGTCTGTATGATAATCTGAAGAACTATCAGATTCCAAGATGTTGATGGGAAAAACGAAAGAAGTGTTAAATATGCATTAAGTTTTATAAAAAAAAAATAATGAAAACACTAGAGTAATATAAGCCTATACACATTGCAGTACATTCGATTCTGTAAAGCATCGCACACTTTGTATCGTACGACCGTCATGATTCGCTCACTGTGTGCGCTTGACGATGTAGCACTGTATGCTGATTGTGGGTGGTAGACTGAACAGGTTGCGAACGCCTTGTCACGTTGCATTCTCTAGGAATCTTGTCGCGTTCTACGAGGGATCGTGATGGCTGATGATAGGTGCAGTGTATGCCTGGCTAAAGGCACAACTGAAACAGACCATTTCATTTTTTCTTATAAAACGACTTCAATGTGGGAGCTTTATAAAGTATATTAAAGTGCACACTCAAATTTTCACCAGATTTTATTGGCTAAACTTTAAACCAGATGTTTGACAAAAGTTGTAATTACGCCAGTGGTTGGCTTAGGAATCTGCTGACGGGGTACAGACAAGTCCAGCAGGGGTCTGAACCCCCGGTGAAGGTTCCAGATTCAAACACCTGGTCACGGTCAAAGGGAAAAATATTTTTTTATATTGGAGGATTCTTTTACACCTCAATTTTAAGAACTCCAGTCACATTAACTTTTTTTTAAATCGGCAATTTAAGATTTTTTGTACACGATTTTGAGTGGTGTCCAGAGTTCATGTTTGCCCATTATAGATTACCCCTATATTTCCATCACTGAAGGAGGCACAATACCTAAGTTGAAAGAAATCCCTTACTGGAGATCTAAATAAAAGTGCTTTATTATCCCATTTGAATTTTATTTTGCTGTGCATGAGGCTCCATTAGCACCAACTTCCGTGAGACAATTGATAGTGAAGTAGTAAAAACTTGCAATTATTGTGAAATTGCGGGAGATTTTTGCTTTAGTGCAGGAGGCCATCCTGATTACCGGGAGATTCCAGGGACTCCCGGGAGACTTGGGACACCTGCAATACCTTCATGACTTGACACTTTCGTGGGCATGGTTGTGATCTTGCAGAGCTTTGGCAGCCATTTTGTTATGAACAGATGTACAACCAGGTATCTCAGCCTTCTGGTCTTGTTGGATATGTTGCAATGTTGGAGTAGATTATCACATGAACAACCAATTAGTAGACTTGCGTAGCTCATAATTTTTTTTTTTTTTTGGATTATGATTAATAACTTTGAGATCAAAGACAGAATAAGTGGCAAAAAAATGTATTCCTCATGAAAGCTATTATATGCAAATTGGTTATATATCTGATAAAAAATATGCATATCTGACCAGTCATGCATATCTAATGTAGGCACATAAATGCCTGCTATTTTTTTACCTATTTCAATTAATGTTCCTATAACTAAAATGTCAACACTATTCTGAATGTTTATTGTTACACCATTGATTTCTTATCCAATTTTATTTTATTGTGAATAACGATGATGTACTGACATTATTATATAATATATGATAATATATATTTAGGATATTATTACCCATCACAATGAAGTTTGTATAATTATTGTAATAAATATATTATATTATGGTAACATTTTTAATTGTTTTTAAAAATTATTTGATTACACTATTATTTCGATGTTTGGCAATTAATTCTACTATTAATTTGTTAGTTTATCTGTCTTAAAAGCCAGCAACTTTTAATAAACTATAGAAGCCCAGAAGCTTTACTTTGATCTTATCATCAGAGAACAAAAGTATAGATAAATACATGTACTGCATATACAGCTTGAGAAATGAAATGTTACATTTGTCTAAAGGAAATCATAGTGAGACACAGGTAGGCCACTGTTAAGGAATGTAAGATTAGGGTTGTGTTTGAAAGTAAACATAATATGTTTATGTATGTCAACTATAATATAGTGTTATTATTATTATTGACAAAATGTTTGATGCTGGATGAGTGGGTACACGACATGCATATACCTGTCTCTTATACACATCTAGATGTGTATAAGAGACAGGAGATGTACTGAGTCAGTACCATGACCTATTGCTGCCCCCATCAAGTGCGATGCAGAATGGCCGATGAGAGAAAAGAAAAACAGATTATGGTCTATCTATAACGTATCTCCAGTAATATATACTGTATGTATATATGAAATGGTATATGATTTATGTATACACTTACATATACATATACATATATAATGTATATTGTGCATGTAAATGGGATAGAAGATGCATTAATTGGTGTATCTGCTATAAGAATGTATATTTTATGTGTGGATATATAAATGATTGTATGCATAGAATATATAATAAGTATGTAAGCAGTTTTTTAGTAAGCCTAGAGTAGGCTACAAACAACAATGTGTTTTGTTCGTGTAGAACAGACAAGCTGTGGCTATTGGGAGGTAGTGTCTATAAAATGGTATAAATGCAATGTAATATTGACTAATAAAGCCTAGAAAAGGTGAAAACTGAAACTTTTGAATTGAATGTAGTTTGATATTACGAGTATCTTGCTGTGGCCGTAACAACTATTCATAGTTAAATAGACATGGGGAGAAAACGTGAAGGCATTACCATCTAAAAGCAACATATTTGTAAACGATTTTGGTAATGTCCTCTTCGTCTAGATCTAGATACTGATCTCTCAACTTTGTGAAGTTATTTTCACGTTGTTTTTACGTTGTTTTTGGGAACATGCTCACCATGTCTTCGACTTCAGACATTCTTGAACAACCTTAAGCCGCAATATCTCAGGCTTACCTGAATGAATACCGTATTCTATCAAGCCGCCCCTGCAAAACAAAGGACGTTTCCAGTCACTTATGTTTTTATACTGTTGGTTGTGGTCTTAGCGGAAAAGGTCTATTTTGAATTTGCCACTGAATGAATGAAATACATTATTTATGGACGATAATGATGATGATGATGATGATGTCGACGACGACTATGATGACAGTCACGATGATGACGTCTACGATGACTATGACGACGGGGATTATGATGATGATGATAATAATTAGAGACGATGACGACGATTACAATGATGATGGTTATTGTTATGTTTATTATTTAATTTCAATACGATTGAGTTTTAAACCATTTACGCGTAACACGATTAATTAAGCATCCAAAAAAACGCAATACACTCTTTGAAAAAGGAGAAATTTTCTTCTGGTGTACCTACCTAATCACCACCAGAAGTGCCCCGCATGAAAGAGGAAATATTGTCTTCATGTGTACCTACCCGGAAGTCACCACCAGAAGGGCCCCGCATGATGTAAGTCTTCAGCCGACTTTCGTGGATTATCCTTGGTGTTTGCACCGAATAAATCCACGAATCGATCGGAGTCACAGAAAATAATAAAACAACCCGCAAGTGGCAGTGTCGAAAAATCGTCCAATTTCGAAAAAAAATGGACAATTTCAAAAAAAAAATGTGAGCTATGCCTTAGGCGTTTTTACCAAAATTTGGCTAATTTTCACCTTGTCCTTTTTTTGGTTATTCTTCCTCAGTAAGTGCCACTGACCACATTCGTATGATCCGAGGTGCCACAGGACACAAAATAACCGAAAAATGACAGTTTATAAAAATCATCCAATTTCTAAAAAAAAAACCCTTTGAGCTATATACCCTTTGCATTTTTGAGAAAATTGGCCAATTTTCGACCTAGTCGATTTTTTTTTTGATTTTTTTTTTTTTTGGTGATTCTTCTTATGGTACATAGGGATCATGAATATACCGATTATGTTTGATTTAACTTTGTTCAACATCCATTTGTTATCGTTTAAAAGTTAACATTTTCACATATTCGGACACAAAGAATAGGCATTGAGTATCATCTGATTTAACATTATTTAAACTTGGTTTCAAATGGATCTGCATAGTACTTTTGTGATACGTAGGTCCCAATAGAACTAAAAAACAACCAAAAATTTAAAGTTAACAAAAAATCGTGAGGGGCCCTTTGCGTTTTTGCGAAAATTGGCCAATTTTCGACCTAGTCGTTTTCTTGCTGATTCTTACCTTATAGTACATAGGGATCATGAAAACACCGATTATGTTTGATTTAACTTTGTTAAGCATCATTTTCTTAGCGTTTGAAAGTTTCAAAAGATTCGGGCACATATGCCTAGACCGAATTGAGTATCATATCATCATTATCTCCACCACAACCATCATCATTATCATCATCATCAACAATAATCAACATCATCATTATCATCATCATCATCATCATCATTGACATTAACATCATCAACCCCACCACTACCATCGTTATCATTACCATCATCATCATAATCATCAACAATCATCATCATTATAATCATCATGAATGTCATCATAACCACTACCACCATCATTATCATCACTATCCTAATCATCATAAAGGAATGGCGCTTTAGAAAAAGAATGCATTGTTTTGATACCTCACCAGGTGGCGTTTCAAATATAAACACTACTGTATGTGGAGTTGAAAGACTACGAAGGAGACTTTACAATTAGGCCTAATACCGTAACAAATGTGAGTACAGTATTGAACATTTTGCATCGTTAATTCAATAGTTAAAAGGGAATTCTGTCATCATCATACTATGGTTTTATTTTGACTAAGTTTGTTAGGCATCGAAAGCATTTGACAATTTCCTCGACAGAGGCATGCATTGACATGGCTGCATTCTATTCAACAACTACACACATTCAATAAAACCACTATAATTCCTGAAACTGGGTAAAGAAACTTTATTTACAGCTTGGGGCTTGTTAACTTCCGTTCGTTGGTTACATTGTAGATTCATATCTGTTTTTTTTAATCGACATTATACAAAATTTATTACCAATTATCTTGTCATTATCTTTGCCCAAATTTTAATCAGAATAATCGAAATTGGTTATACACCGACAATAATATTTCCATATCATTTTTAAAGGACAACGAAAGTAATCGAGGTTGGCCCAAATGATACGTCTATCAATTGATATTAATTTCGTCATGGATATGTACCACCATGACGTAAATATAAAATAGGCCTATAGCTACCAGTGGCGGATCCAGGAATTCAAAATAGAGGGACACAGGTAGGGTTTCACAAATGGATTTATGATTAGGGCACCTCTATACATCCATGCTCTAGATGGCCGGAAATAAGTTAAATTCAAATACAATTTTAATTTTTCCCCAAATTTTTTATAATTTTGAATAATTTACCGGGATCGATTGCACACCCCACCCCCTTGAATCCGCAATTAGCTACAGCTGTCAAATTTTTTTAATTTTTTAAAAGTCAAAAGCAACTAGCCTTGCTCATGTAGCCCGAGTTACCATAACTTACAAACTAACATCGACCCACATCTTCCGACTCAACGACTAAAAAATGCCGATCCAAACAAACTCATTTTGATAGCCAATCCAATTGTTTTCAAAAAGCATATAGGGGAATCCTGATTTGTCGATATTTGACTACAAAAATCCTCAAATTGACAGTATTTCCAGCCAATTTTAAAAATTTTTATAAAGAATATAGCACAGGCATTGCTGACAGGAAAATATGTTGTCATACATATATTTATTTGTAAGCTAATAACTTGCTTAAATATAAATATTCAACCAAGGAATTATTTTTTTCATCTTTCAGGTCATGACAGATTACATCTTTAAATTTGGCCCCATTGGAAATGCACTGGACTCTGGCCTAATGGTACTGCTGACTGGAAAAGATATTGTCATACAGATATTTAATTGTAAGTTAATAACTTGCTTAAATATACATATTCAATTTTGGAATAAATTTTTTACCTGTCAGCTCATGACAGTATTATATTTAAATGTGGCACCATTGGAAATGGGCTGGACTCTGGTCTAATGGTCCTGATGCTCATTAATTTTTACTTTATTCACAATTTTTAATTTTGCTTTTGGATGTTGAACATCGAATAAATTCAATCAGTCAGTCAATAAATATTATATCATGAAAAATGTTTGTATGAATATAGTTATAGTAGCCTATTATGTTCATATCAAATGCATTTATATAATGTACAGTATTCATTTCTATCGAATCGTACACTTTTATACATTTTATTTACACATGACAATCGAATTCTAAAATAAACTTATATAACTAACATCGACCCCCATCGTCCGATTCAACGACTAAAAAATGCCGATCCAAGCAAATGCATTTTGATAGCCAGTCCAATTGTGGTAAAAAATCACATGGGCGATCCTAAGCCGTAAAATATCTCCCCATGAACCCCCATGGATTTTATTCCAGGATTCTGCCCGATTCTCTCTAGGCAGCCCCCCCCCCCCCTGTTTCAGACCCCAGTCAGTGTTGTTGGATCCCTGTCGGCATTTTTTACATTTTTTTCTGATTTACCGACATTTTACTACAAAAAATCCTCAAATTGACACTACTCCCATTCAATTTTAAAAGTTAATAGTGTCTATGTATTCATAAAGAATATAGCAAAAGTATTGCTGACAGGAAAATATGTTGTCGTACAGATATTTAATTGTAAGTTAATAACTTACTTATAATATATAAAAATATAAGCGCGTAGGCGAGGTCTCTACAATATGCGCTATATAAGTCGACAATTATTATTATTATTATTCAATCATTGAATTATATTTTTCATCTTTCAGCTCATGACAGACAGTACATCATTAAATTTGGCCCCAAATGGAAATGGACTGGAATCTGGCCTAATAGTACTGCTGACTGGAAAAGATATTGTCATACAGATATTTAATTGTAAGTTAATAACTTGCTTAAATATACATATTCCATTTTGGAATGAATTTTTACCTGTCAGCTCATGACACTATTATATTTAAATGTTGCACCATTGGAAATGGGCTGGACTCTGGTCTAATGGGCGTTCCTAATGCTCATTAATTTTGACTTTTATTATTCAAAAATTGTTATTTTGCTTGTGCATGTTGAACATCAAATAAATTCAATCAGTCAGCCAATAAATATTATATCATGAAAAATGCTTGTATGAATATAGTTATAGTATTATGTTCATATTAAATATAGGCCTACTGTATGAATTTATATACTGTATTCAATTCTATCGAATGGTACACTTTTATACATTTTATTTACACATGACAATCGAATGCTAAAATAATTTGTTCACACTATTGCAATCTACTAGGCCTACCGGTACCCAATACTGTGTACTAGTATTTATTAATCCTCATTTATTCTGTGGTATGATGATAATATATGATAATGCTGATATGAAGAAGTGTTAAGTACTATTCTGTTGTATCATCAGCATTGTCCATACATTGCTGAATACGATAATGTTCGAGTTGAGGTGCTCACTATGTTTTCTTTTATTTATATATTATGTTGTTGTTACTTCGTTATTATTCTTTCTCTGTTTCTAAATATTCAAAGAATCAACTATTTATCAGGAAAGAATGTCCAGACTCGATGGTGAAAGAGCAGCAGAACTTACCAACTATTTATATAAAGCCAAACATTTTGTTAATAATCAACCTTCCTGCAAAAATTCTGGATATGAAATTAAATAAAATAGTGTGAATTTTATTTTTTTAAGTATTTCCTCTGCAAAAATCTCAAAATTAATATTATAATTCTTGTATGCTTTATGTTTAGGACTATTGATAGTGTAATTGTATTATTACTACTAATGTTAATCTTAATAATAGACAAAAGAACCATGTATAATTGTTGCAAAAAATATAGAAATATGTAAGATTATACCGGTAAGATATACAATTTTGTGGATTAAAATCAGATCTATTGCTTTTTGCCGAATGTACATGTAGTAGCCTATAGGCTTATACAGTATATAAAATAAAATGTATACATATATCCTAACTTGATTTCAGTGCTTGTAATAAATATCAAATGGAAATGCATTTCTTCTCGTCTTTTCCAATGTCTGTGTTCACTTTATATCATTATAGGCTTACGCAAAAAGTGAAGAATTTATTAATCAATATTACCTATTGCACTTTGTATATTAAGCTAGCAATGAAATCCTTTCGAGGACGCCCTCAACAAAATACATAAAACCGGAAATGACGTGATTGCTAAGCAACAAGCTCATGCATATCATGAATATTCAGTAACACCTGTTCTAATTAGACTAACAATAAAATCTTTTTGGTCGATTTTGTCAAAACTGAGCTAAAAGTTTTTATTGTTAGTCTAATTAGCACAGGTGTTACTGAATATTCATGAGCTGTTGCCTAGCAACTGACGTCACTTCCTGTTTTGTAAAATTATACGGTCCTTTCGAGGACGCCCTCATCAAAATACATAAAACCGGAAATGACGTGGTTGCTAAGCAACAAGCTCATGCATAATCATGAATATTCAGTAACACCTGTTCTAATTAGACTAACAATAAAATCTTTTTGGTCAATTTTGTCAAAACTGAGCATTCTGACAAAATCGACCAAAAAGATTTTATTGTTAGTCTAATTAGCACAGGTGTTACTGAATATGCATGAGCGTAGCCTAGCAACCGACGTCATTTCCTGTTTTGTAAAATTTGACGGCACCTTGCTCTGATTTTTTTTTAACTTGTTTGAATCGTAAATATTTGGAAATATTAGTGTTTATAAAGATATAGTAGTAGTCTGTAATACTGGTATATTCGATTCCAACTGATTATAATATATTTAATTTCAGAATATATATTATTAATGAAATTACGACAAAGAAAGTACAGACAATGATGTATTTTAAATTACACATCAGTTAACTTTTATTTCTTATAATATACTACGAAATGTTGCATCAGAACTATATAAACGTAATATAAATAAAATACGATTGTAGCTTTATATGAATACTTAGGCATTTAAGTATATAAGTACGGTATATAATATCGTTCGAGGATTACTTGTTCGTTGTTCAAGAAACATAACTTGCACATTTAATTAAATTCCGATGATTCATTGGTATAAGACCTAATAAATATCCACGCGCGATTATCAGAAAACAACATAAATCTGGCTAATTATATTACATTGTTTTCCGGAAAATTAATATACATTGTGTTCCAGTAGTGACAATGATTGTACATCGATCTCGCACTTCTTGATGAATTGGTAGAGTTGACCTGAGACACTGAAAAAAAAGAGATTAAACTAGTGAGAAATACAATAAAAATATATTTGTTATGACATTCATACTTTCATGAGGTATAAAATTGCAAATTCAGAAAATAGAATTAAATGTTTAATTGATTTAATACATTATATAAAGTGTACATGTTAATAAAACGTTATTTTAATAATGATTTGGGTGCCTACTCACCCCACTGTCCCCAACCCCATCCCCTAATCGAAAAGGTCCACAAATTTTAAGACAGTCAAAAATGTACTGAATATTTTTTTGCCCACACCCCCCTCCACCTTTTTTTTTTTTTTTTTTTTTAATGATAAATAGGGGCGGGTGGAAAAAGTTTTTATTTATTTATTTATTTTAAGATAGTCACCAGATGGAATAAAAATAACCCACAGAGGCCTAGAATGGCAATATCTTACATCAGACAACAAATTTAGACTAATTTGTAGAGCATCTGGCAAAAATTAAAATAAATTCACTCACATATTTTATTATTTGTAAAGAAAAAAGCTAAACAATTTTTTTTAAAGTTTTTTGTTTTTCCGCCCCTATTTTTTTTCAGCGAGTTAGGGGCGGGTGGAGGAGGGCAAACAAACATTTTTTTTTTGGCCTTATGTTGTTAATGTTGTTTACATTTGCACTCAGATACTCCGGTTTAATGACATTGTATTATGCCTAAATTTTAAGATTTCTATGTTTCAAATTAGTCCACAAAATTAATGAAAAGGACCCTCTATAAACCGATTTTAGAGCAAGTCCCCAGTCTGAAAAAAACAGGCCTGAACAACAACACAACAATGGGTGCCGCAATTAAATCCATGTAGGCCTACAGGCTTGTACAACTACAGTGCAAAACACAGAGGGTCTGGTACAATATAGTACAAGCTTTACTTACCTATAATTATGTACATTTTCTCGCACTTAATGATGAAACGGTAGACTTGACCTGAGACACTAAAATAAAAGAGATTGAACTAGTAAGAAATACATTCAAAACATATTTTTTTATGACATTCAAACATTCATGAGGTATAAAATTGCAAATTCAGAAAATATAATTGATTGTTTAATTGATTTATAACGGTATATGTTAATAAAATGTTATTTTAATAATGATTTGGGTGCGTACTTTCCCCACCGTCCTCAAACCCCATCCCCTAATCGAAAAGGCCCACATTTTTAAGACAGTCAAAATGTACTGAATACAAAATGTGTTAAGTTTTGTAATAACACTTTAAAGAGAATATTAAATCTTTTACAAATGGGTTTCTTAGTAGATTTTTAGTTTTTATGCTGTTGTTATTTATTTTTATTCAGTCCTGTTTGAAATTGCCATACGTGGGATAAATAAAGAATTTTTGAATTTTGAATTTGTTTAATAAAATTTTATTTTAATAATGATTTTGGTGCGAACTTTCCCCACCGTCCTCAACCCCATCCCCTAATCGGAAAGGTCCACATTTTAAGACAGTCAAAAACGTACTGAATACAAAATTTTTTAATTTTTGTAATAAAATTTAAAAGCGAATATTAAATCTTAACATTTTAACCAATACTCTATTGGAACCCCTGTAACGTCCTACAATACCAAATCTGTGGCCCTCTTCCCATTCAACAATTGGTCCATTTGGTATGATTATAACGTCTTATGTTCCTATCTGAGTATTGTTATTATAGAATACTTAATATATCGAAAAACGAGTACAGTGCAGGAAATATGTATATATATATATATATATATATATATATATATACATATATATATAGGCCTATATATATACATATGTATATAAATAGATCGAAATATTGTTTTTCTCATAAATCAACAAAAATGTTAATAATATATCGTAGAACGAATGCAATACATTTAATTAGATTAAGATAAAAAAGATTAATTATACAAACATCAACGGCATTAACATCACTTTATGCTGCATTCTATTTTCATGAATTTGTATATTTATGTGATTGTTATATGCCTATTTAAATTACAGCGCATTTTACGAACCATGGATCGTTTTTAAGTTGATATATAAACAATATTACACTTTATTAAATTAAATAAAATGATTTTACTTAATTTTAAAGAATACTTGGAGTTACATTGTGGAATATAGGTTGCAAAAATATGTGCCTACGAACAACACTATAAGGTATGTCATCACACAACGACAAATTTTCAGGTCTACAGTCTTGTACAACTACAGTATAAAACACAGTACACACTTTACTTACCTATATGTAGATTTTCCAAAATTAGAAGAAACACCATTCCGAACTTAAATCTGGCTAATGATATTAAATTGTGTTCCGGCATTTAATATAGGCCTACATTGTGTTCCGGTGACAATGATTGTATATCGATCTCGCACTTCTTGATGAATCGGTAGAATTGACCTAAGACAGTAAAATAAATGAGATTGAACTAGTGAGAAATACATTCAAAATATTTTTTTTGACATTCATACTTTCCTGAGGTGTAAAATTGCAAATTTAGAAAATAGAATTGATTTTTTATATGATTTAATACATTATGTAAAGTGTACATGTTAATAAAAGGTTATTTTAAAAATGAATTTAGTGCGTACTCTCTCCACCGTCCTCAACCCCATCCCCTAATCGAAAAGGTCCATATTTTTAAGACAGTCAAAATTGTACTGAATACAAAATTAATTAATTATTGTATTGTAAATTAATTTTTGTAATAAATCTAAAAGCGAATATGTGACTCTCTTCCCATACAACAATTAGTCCATGTGAAACGATTATAACGTCTTATGTTCTTATCTGAGCATTGTTATTATAGAATACTTAATCTATCGAAAAACGAGTAACGTGCAGGAAATATATATGTA